ACCCTTGTTACGTGGGAATGCCGTGTAGCCATAGCCAGAGTAGCTTGTAACTGTCAGCCGTGGAACCTTGCTTATCTGCCCCTGTAAGTAGGGTTAGCTAGGCCGGTAACCCACTAAATATAGCAGGTTGCTTCGTATCTGTTGACGTCAGAGAGACACGACCATGGCCTCCCTGGCTTGGATGTAGTGCTTACTTGCCCTTTTCCTTCCCTCTGACGTCCCTAAAAGAAAAACTGCTTACTAAGCCAACTTGCGGCTCAAGTAACTAAATATTCCAACGTCGAATGTGATTCCATCACAAGCTCAGCTTCAACCATCACATACACCACCATGTCTCTGGCCGACTACCTAGCGAAAAACTACCTGACAGCAGACACATTATCGTCGGAGCGGCCGAAGAAGAAGCGCAAGAAGAATAAGCATGCCGCGGCCGAGGCTGCCAACGCCGGCGGCCTGATAATCGCAGATGACGACCCTCCTTTACTCTCTAGCTCGACCAAGACCTCACGATCCAGACAGCCAGGCAGATACGATTCGGACGAGGACGATGAGATACCATACGCAGCGCAGGGCGGAACAAGCAGCGAGTTCCGAAAATCCAAGTCTTCGCAATGGCGGAGCGTGACAGGACCACAGCCCCCTACAAACGACGAGCAGGTCGCGGCAGACGCGATTCTGGCCTCTGCAGCCGCCGAGCGAACGGCTCAGATGGAAGACGATGACGATAGGCCCGTAGTGGCCGAGGAAGATGACTCGATGCCACGAATGGAGTCGGGCATGAGAGCTGGATTGCAGACCGCGGCCGATACTGCGGCCATGGTAGCAGCACAGGAACGAGAGCAGGCGCAGGAAGCCGAGAAGCTACGGAAGGATAGAAAGAAAAAAGGAAAACAGGAAGTTGGGCTGGAGTCGGAAACGATTTCCGAGATGCGTCTGCCGATTCATCAATGTGCTATGAAGCGGGCAAGAAGCACGCAAGCAGCGGAAGGAAGCTGCTGCTGCTGACCGGCCGCTAAGGAGCCTTGACGGGTGATGTGCAAGAAGCAGAAGAAGAAGCTCGTCGTCCAGCGCTGGAGGAAGCAAAGTTTATTCCCGTGCGCGAACCGGCGGACCGATGAGGATCTGAATGCCGAGCTCAAGGGCAGACAGAGGTGGAACGATCCTGCAGCGGCTTTCTTATCCGAGTCGAAAAGTGCCGGTGCTGGTGTCGGCGGTGCTGCTGCCGGGGGAGGGAAAAAGGTATATAGAGGTGCAACTCCGCCGAACCGATATGGGATCCGGCCGGGCTTCAGATGGGATGGAGTGGACAGGAGTAATGGGTTTGAGCATAAATGGTTTGAGGCACGGAACCGACGAGGCAGGATGGAAACTCTGGAATACGCATGGCAGATGGATGAATAATAATATATACCGTTTCTCGAAGCTCAACATTGATTTCCCGACCGAACGGATTTGTTGTATTTACTCTGGACAAAACATGAATGATGGAACGATACAGGAGAAGCAAGGGGAGAGGGAAAAAAAGACAAGAAGCCGCCATATGTATGAAATGAAATTCGTCCAATCATACGTTCTTCGCCTATTTTCAGAGGAAAGAATGTGCTGTGTTCGTTTCTGTATGTAGGTCAAAGTGAGCGTGAGATGACCTATATCCCAATTCCACCATCAGTTCTCCCTTTTCCCCTGAGCTCCAGCTCCAGCTCCTCTCCAGCTTCAGCTTCAGCGTCCACCACACCCCTCAGCAGTCCGTCAGTTGCATCAGACAGTTATATTTCCCTCCATAAGAATATAGACAGCATGATAATTGATAAGTTATAAACGAGACCAACAACACCCCCGTTTCAGCAGCGTAGCAGGACGGTAAAGCATGACAAAGCACTAGCACGAACAACTCTATCTATTTCAGCCATGATGATCCAATAAATCATGTAGGTTGGTTTCATTCTTTTGTTTCATTTCTCGCCCCAGCCATCGCCAACATTTCATTTCATCTCATCCGGCAAGTCAGGGGCAGTTGGAGGAGGAGGATGATGATGATGATGATAAGCCAATGAGATGAGGATGCAAGGGTAAGATAACAAGATGGACGACCACGATGCGGCCAAGGGTAGAGGAGGAGGGAACACCAAGGTTGAACGCCGTTAAAGATAACATTGATGGTAGGTAGCATTGGGATCAAGGGGAGAGGGAGGGATGGGGAGCAAGTTCACCTCCTCTTGACCTCGGATGCCCAGCCCTCGATGCCTTCTCCTCGACTGCCAACAGGAATGTTAAGGGAAATGTGGTCCATTCCTTTAGTGCCGTCAAGGTACTTATGGCTAGCCATCCCGCCGGCGTTTGCCCTCCGCTCGGGTATGAGTTCAAGCATAGGTATCAAGAAGTCCGACACTGCTTTACTCTCTTCCTCGGAAAAGTGATACTTCTCTCTGAGGACGTCGGGAAGCGCCCAGTGACGTAGTCTGTGAATATTGCGGAGCTCTCCCTTCCGGTTGAAGATTTCTTGGCTCCATTTTCCGGATAGACAGAGAGATTTGGGGAAAGGACCCAGGAGTTCAATGATCTGGGCAATGTGGTCGTCGTCTTTGCCGTACTTGGTGCCGGTCTGGGGGTCGAAGAGGTAGTCTCCAGTGATAAGTTCGAATGACTAGAGATGTTGGTTAGTGATGGGGGATCCAGTTGAGAGAAACTGGGCGGGTTTTACTACTGACCATGGCAGCCATGCTCCAGATATCAGTGCTGGCGCCCCACTTACCGCCCAGGATAACTTCCGGCGAGCGGTACTGTCTGGTCTGGATATCGTTTGTGAAGTGATGTCCGACCCAGCAGGCGTTACCTAGATCGGCTATCTTGACGGAGATTATATCGATATTGAACTGGTCGTCAGCCATGGCCTGGCTTGTGTCTTTGTTAAGGGAGATTCCTGAGACTTCGCGTTCAAGCAAGTCGCTGCTGAAAGTCAGTAAAAGGCGTATATTAATTATTATGATCGTTAACAAGATACGGTGACTTACGTAGTTTTTTCTCTTTGTTTCTGTTTTTCGTCGGCGGCTGCGTCCGAATCCTTAATGCCTAG